TCACTCACTCGCTACTCTTCTCCTGCCCATCCTCCTCCTTCCCTCATCCTCCTCCCCCTCCTCCTCCCTCCCTCCTCCTCCTCCTCCTCCTCCTCCTCTACCTCCTCATCTCCTCCTCCCCCCCCCTCCTCCTCCTCTGCACTCACCCGCTACCCCTTCCTCCCCCCCCGCTCAGCCGTCGTTCAGCTCGGGCAGGGGATGCCCGAGCTCCAAACTGCAAAAACGTGTGAACGGCGATGGCGAGGGGGTCCATACGGAGAGATGGTACGCGGTCCAAGGCGTCCCCCTGGACCTAGAAAGACAACAAACAACAGAAACAACAACACCACCACCACCACCAACAACAACAACAACGATGACGACGACGACGACGACGACGACAACAACAACAACATCACCAACAACAACACCACCACCACCACCAACAACACCACCACCACCACCACCACCACCAACAACAACAACAGCAACAACAACAACAACAACAACGCCAACAACAACAACATAAACATAGTTTCTCGGAGGTCCGCGTGGAATTCTCTAAACAGCGCTGGACCCCCCTTTCCTTTCGCGCGCAGCGCGTCACCCAACGCCAAAAGGCGTCCCCCTGGAGTACGGCGTCCCCCTGGATTACCCCCTCCTACAAGCGGATTTTGGAAGAATATCTTACAACATTCTAAACCATCCAGAAGATTCAAGAATAGTCGAAACATCGACATCGTCGAACATTCATCCTGTAGAGGGATCTGCCCGACTGAAGGTTAGGGTCAGGAGCTGTTGCTCGCCGTGCCGCTGCGGTCCTGGCGACACGCTGTGCCCTGCGCGTGGATGCAGCGTGCCGCTCCGCTCCGCGCGGGAGGGGGGAGAAAGCTCGGACACAACTCGGGACGTCGACGCCTGGGGACGACAGATTGCAAAAAAAACCTAAAAAAAACCCAACGAAGGATTGCGAACGAACGGGTTTCTTTTTGCAATCCTTCGTTTTTTTTTGTGTGTGTTTTTAGTGTCGCGCCACAGTGTGGCGGGCCAGAACCAGGCGGGGCGACACGCGCAGCCAAGACACCCGACCCGACACCGTGCGGAGCAGTGCGAGCCGAGCAAGCGGATTACCTACCAGACCACCCCAACCCGACCCGAAGACCCAAATTTGACCCGAATATCGGGTTGGGGGGGGTACGGATTCCATGTGTTTTTTCAACGTTCCCCGACCCCCCCCCACCGGAAATGGAGGGCAAATCGAGGGCTTCGGGTTGGGTTGGGGTGGTTTGGTGGGTGGTGACAAGCGGGCCGTGGCGACCGGCTCTGTCAGCGCGAGGCGAAGGAAGAGCAGGCCGTCGTCGGCCACAGCGCGGTGGTCAGCTCCCGGCACGCGGCGGATAAGAGGCCTCCCCGGACGGGGTCCGCCCCGGTGCGCAGCGCGCGACCCGCGGCGGGCGGCACGGAGCCCAGCACCTACACTAACCAGCCTCGAACGTATCGCTATCCCTAAGATGGGCGAGCAGAAAGCGAGCACAATCTTAGGGACAGGCCCTCAGAAACTGAGGGAATCCTTAAGATCGGCATCGAGGTGAGGTGATGTCAAACATAGGGATAAGGATATGTCTCAAACTGGTAGTACACGTCGTCCATTTCTGAGCGTGCCCATTCCTCATTGTGCTCGTTTCTAATAGTTCCCGGCCCCCCAATGGCCAGGAAGAGGCTCAGGATGAAATAATCAGAAATGAAATGATTTTGGCCCCTCAGAGGATTGAAGAGCTTTCGAATACTTCGAAAACCAATCGTGGGTATAGATTGACAGCGTGCGCTTGGAGCGGCACGTTCGCCAACAAAGGTGGGCCGACGCGTCGACCCGACCGTTTCTTGCGCCGCCGCGCGTCAGTCGGGTCGGGCGAAAGGGGGGATAGCAAAGGGGGGGTTCGAGAATCAGCTCACGTAGCTGATTTTCCCGGCGCCTCCCAGCGCCGGAGGGAGCTATGTATCGAGGAATGGGCCCCTCGGTGGGGCCGAAACCAGCTGCATGCAGCAGATTTCGTAACCCCCCCTTTCCCAATCCCCCCCTTTCGCCCGACCCGAGTCAGGGGCATGCCCCGCACGCGCGCCGGGGCGAGACTGGGGCACGGCGTCGCGAAGCACAGCCGGCCCGTGCAGGATGGAAGCACGGTGAGGCTGCAAGGGCCTCGGAGGGCCGCGCTGGCACTTCGGCGTTTGTCGAACGACGTTGGCCGGCGAGGCCTACTCCAGATTTCGTAATAAAAGGGAGGGGGTCTGGACCCTCCAAGACAAGCCATTTCATACCTCCCCCGTGGGAGAACCCTCCAAAACATCGTCCCCAGACCCCCCAGGCCCTCCAAGATAGCCTGGAAGAGACCCCCCCCGAAATGAGACCCCCCTCCCTTTATTACGAAATCTGGAGTACCAACAATTGGGCCGAAGGGCCAAAGACGCCAGGGGAAGTAGCCGTGGACAGCCGCTCATCCTTACGACGCGGGTCGGCTGCAACCCGCATGCCAGAGGGGGGGGGGAAGGCGAGAGGGCGGCCGCGGAGACTTTGCCGAAGGATTGCAACAACAAAAAAAACTAAAATATATATATATATATAAAAAACAGCAGAAAAAACAAACAACAAAACACAAAAAAAAAGCGCAGCGCCAACGCGCAGCGTGTCCACGCGGACGCGTGGAACACGCCCGCCACGCGCTGCGCTTCACAGCGGGCGCACCGCGGGGCAGCCGAGGGCCCGAGAGGCTCGGCCCTCTCTCGTCGGCGCCTCGGCGATGCGCCTGCACTGCGCCGGCGACAGCGGCGATGCATCGGCGACGTCGGCGAGGGGAAAGTCGGTCTCCTCTCATCGAACCGCATCGCCGATGCATCAACGATGCCGCGCGATCCTCCGAGCCCACGTGGTCGGGCCCCATCCAGGGGGCCCAGATGAGGAAGGGCAAAAACTGCATGAATCTAGACTTTCGGAGGTCCGCGCAGATTTCTTGGATCGGTCCTGGGTCCCCTCCCTGGCGCGCGGAGCGTGTCAGGGCGGCGCCAGAGGCGCCGCCAAGGGGTGCGGGGGGGGTCACAACGCCGATCCGAGAAATCCGTGCGGAGCCCGGACACATGATGTTTTCGGAATGCGTGACTCCTCGACCCTCGCCTCCTCCCACGGAAACAGAAGCCCTGGACCAGCTCCCATCCCCACCCGTTGTCTGACCGCCCCGGGGCCCGAAGGCGGCCCCTCTCGGGACGCGAGAGAAGAGGAGGAGGAGGAGGAGGAGGAGGAGGAGGAGCAGGAGGAGGAGGAGGGGGAGGAAGAGGAAGAGGAGGAGGAGGAGGAGGAAGAGGAGGCGGAGGAGGAGGAGGGGGAGGAGGAGGAAGAAAAGGAGTAATATGATGATTTGTTCACATGAACCTTCCCCTGGCGAGTGCACGCCAGGGCTGAAAGCAGTGCCAGCTGATGGCGCTGTAGAAAAAAATGACCAAGGCGGTGGCCGACGCGGACGACGGGCGGCCCCCCAGGACCGAACGGCACAGACGGAGACACAACGCCCCGCCGACCTTGCGCGAGCAGCTATGACGGATAGCAGGGCCCCATCTTCCTCTACGAGGGGGCTGGCCCAGACCGATCGCTGCCGCTCGAGCTGGCTTCCCCCCCTGCGCGTTGGGAGGGGGGCCGCCGGCAGACGCCGCCTCCCCCGTCACGTTTGGGGGGGAGGCAGAGCATGATGAGGAGAGGCACATTTGGCCGAATTCCTCTCCGCCAAAGCGAAAAACAGATGATGACAAGCCGCAAGTTCAGCACCCAGAAAAACGAACTCCCGCGCAAGGGCGACGAGGCCCCACCACCCCAGGTGCTGATGCGCCAGGGCGGTGGCGTGACCCCGTCCCAGATACGGGGCAAGCGCGCGGATGCCTGCACCCTGGGTCAGTCGCATCGTGCCGCGCGCATGCGCGGGGATGCCTGGCCGCAGCAGGATGCCACGGCTAGTCGCATCGGGCCATGCTCCTGGGTGCTGAACAGGCTGGGAGACAAGATCTCCATACACAAAACAGAAAGACATAAGCACCAGTCTCGCCGCCAGTGCCCCTGGAAAGAATGGCCACCCGCATAAGCACGACGAGACCCAACCACCCCTAGTGCTGGAGCGCCACGACGGTGGCTAGGTCCCGTCCCAGATGCGGGGTATGCACACGGATGCCTGCCCGTGGGTCAGTCGCATCGGGCCGTGCGCACGCGCAGGGATGCCTGGCCGCAGGAGGCCACAGCTAGTCGCATCGGGCCCTGCGCCTAGGGGCACTGATTGGCAGGGAGACACAGAAAGATTAAGAAAGAGATCAATCCGAGCTCCCTGAAGAAAAAACGTCTGGCTGTTCGTCCCCTCCCAATTGAGGGGGGTCACGCACCTGGATCAGACTGTCGAGCTCCGACGGAGCCCCGCTGCCAGGTCCGCGATCTTCGATCGAGATGTCAGAGACTGAAAGAGGCTGTCCACCAGGCTGCCCAGCCCGTCCCGCTTCCTGCCCCTGCAGACGACAATACGACGGGCGGCGGCGCGGCCGCCTGGACATTCAACGCATCAGCAGAATCGAAGCGTAAAGCGACGCTTCCTCCACAGCATCAGTCCTGAGCGGCTCCTCCTGCTGGCATCAGGAGGAATAGGAGGAGGAGGAAGAGGAGGAGGAGGAACAGGATGAGGATGAGGAGGAAGAGGAGGAGGAGGAGGAAGAGGAGGAAGAGGAGGAATAGGAGGAGGAGGAGGAGGAGGAACAGGAGGAGGAACAGGAGGAGGAACAGGAGGAGGAGGAGGAGGAGGGCCTCCCCATCCTCCCTTCTCCCCCGTCTTACCTATGGTAGCGGTGGTGGGAAATCGGCCCATCATAAGAAGCGGCTGCCAGACGGCTCCAGAATCCGCGCCAGAGGCCTGGTGAGCGGGAACGCGCGCGAGCAGGACGGGGGGGGGCGCCTCTTTGCCCGTGCTGCTGCCGACCCCCGCCCTGCAGCCCGCGGCGAATTAATTCTCTCGCGGCCGGCCGCGGCGCGCCCATCCGCGGGCGGCGCGCGAGAGGAGAGGCACAGAGGCGAGGGGGGGCGTCCTTCTGCGCAAACCCCCTCGGGTTGTGAACGAAATCGAGACGGGAAGTCATTCGCCACTTTCGGCCTCCGGGGGCCCCAACCGGACCCCAGGACCACCAAAAAACGACTTGGGATGAAGAACTGGTCCCTGGGAAGGGGTCCAGACTTCTGTAGGGGTCGACGCTGCGAAAAAAAACGCGACGTACGGGTGCACAGCCACAAGCCAACCTGAGGGTGGCTCTCGATGATGCAAGTGTTTGGTCGGGCATGTCCACCGAGGAAAAAAGTGTTTCTTAATAGATAGTTAGTTATACAAGTATATACACACACACATGTCTTTACACATATACATATATATATGTATATCTATAAAGAAAAACAGCAAATAATAAACAATTGAAGAATCGTCCCATGACAATTTTTGACTACGTTTGAACATTCCTCCTGTAGAGGGACGTGCCCAACTTGTGCAAGGGGCACCCAGGCGCGCCAGGAGGCCCGGGCAGCAGTGGGCACCGATGGGGGCACCCAGGCGCGCCCAGAGCAGAGGGGCGCAACGGGTGCCTCGCCTCGAGGGCTCGACCGGGAGTGCAGGGGCGCAGGGACGCACAACCGACAAGAAACCCAGTCCCAGCATTCCCAACACACATTTGCCGTACTTGCCTGGAGTTTCGGCCCCCCCCCCTCCCATATTTTCCCGTGTTTTTTGTCGTGGGAGTCGACGATCATTAGTGTGTATTTGTGTGTGTGTATATTTGTGTGTGTATTTGTGTGTGTATTTGTGTGTGTATTTGCGTGTGAGTGTGTATTTGTGTGTATGTGTGTGTGTATTTCTGTGTGTCTTTGTGTGTGTCTTTGTGTGTGTGTGTATGTGTGTATTTGTGTGTGTGTATTTGTGTGTGTGTATTTGTGTGTCTGTGTATGTGTGTGTATTTGTGTGTGTGCTTGTCTCCTCCTGCCTCTCCGAGGGCATCGGCCCCTCCGCGCGCCCCCCGCGCCCCTCTGGCGGGCACGCCGCCGTCGGGGAAGCGGCCGCCTCTCACCCGACCCCGCCCCCCTCCTCTTGTCGGGAGCGGCCAAGAGGGGGGTGTCCAAGAGGGGGGGGGGGTGCAAATCATGACCGGCGGCATTTGCGCGGCCCAGCGGGGGGGCCAAGGACGTAATGAAATAAGAAGAAGCGCCACGAGATCTGGGGAAATATCATGGCCCTCGCCATGATATCCACCCCCCCCTAATCATCACCCCCAATCTGGCGCGCCCCCAATCTGGCGCGCCGCCGACCTCGCGCGCCAGAACCGGCGAACGGCCGCGCCAGATCGTGAGGGTCGCGGCTCGGTCGGGGGCGCCCACGAGGGGGGGGGGGCTCATCATTCGGGGGCGCGCAGAACATGGATTAGCGGTCCATGGACTTGGCGCGCGGTCGAGCCAGCGCCGACTGGCGCCGATTCGCACGAGCCAGCAAGGATTAAGTCGGGCTTGTCCCCCTACAGGGGGATTTTCGACGAAAAATAGAAAATACCCCAACAATAAACAAAAAATAGTCCAAAAATAGTCGAGGGACTATTTGTTAAAGTATGTTTTGACCTTTGGGGGGTATTTTGGGGGTACTTTTTTTTTTGTTCGTCGAAAGTCCCCCTATACGGGGACACGCCCGACAGAAAGCCAGGAGGGCATGGGAGGCTCCAACGGAGGTCGGGGATCTTCTGACCCGGGTCAGTCCAGACCCGGGTCAGCAGGAAACCAAAAACTGCAATGCAGGAAAAAAAAGCAACGCAGATCTTCGCAAACCCGGGTCAGCCACTAATTAGGCGCGGCCGCCTCGCGGCCACGAGCGGCTCGCCAACCCGGGTCAGCCAGATGGGGGTCTTCGCAGGATCCTGCAGGATCCGGTGCCGTGGCTGACCCCCGTCTGCATTGATCCCCGTCCCCAGACCCCCGACGTAATGATTTTTTCATTACGTCGACCCCCAGAGGTCCCGACCCTTTCCCCATGACCGGCTTTGCATCCTGAGTCGTTTTCTGACGCCCCCGAGGCCCGGTGAGGGCCCCCGGAGGCCGAAAATCAGGAAAAACCTCCCGTCATGATTTTTTCGTTACTCGAGGGGGTCTGGGTCTCCGGGCTCCCGAGGAGGTGCCGCCGAGCTCGCGCCGGTGGCGCGCACGCCGCCGACGGACCGGCGGCCGGGGCCCCCGACCGCGCGGAGCACCGCGCGGCAGCTCCCGGGCGGGGCCGGCCTCGGGGCCCCTGGCAGTGTGCGGCCGGGCCCAGGGAGCGAGGAGGAGGAGGAGGAGGAGGAGGAGGGGGAGGAGGAGGAGGAGGAGGAGGGGGAGGAGGAGGAGGAGGAGGAGGGGGAGGAGGAGGAGGAGGGGGAGGAGGAGGAGGAGGAGGAGGAGGAGGGGGAGGCCCCCTTGTGGTCCAAGAAGTCCCGAGGCCCCTTTGGTGTTCGGTCCCCTTTTGGTCCTTTTTGGCCCCTTTTGGTCCAAGGAAGTCTCTGTGAAGTCCACAGGAGCACCAGGAGCACCAGGAACGGGGCCCCTTTGTGCCCAAGGGACGAGGACGAAGGAACGAGGCCTCTTGTGGTCCAAGGAAGTCTAGGAAGTCCGCACGAACACCAGGGGGGGTCGCCGCCCAAAAGGTAGCAGAACGCATGCAGACCAAAGGGGCGACCGAGCCCCTTCTGAAAAACAAGTTCAGCGCCTGCCTGATGGGGACTCCACTAACGGGTACTTTGGCCAGCGACAGGGCGAACCCAAGCCTCCCCGATGTGGGCGACGCTGCAATGCCGGAAAGAAGCCCTGAAGTGGCAACTGTCGGCAATTTTCCAAAGTACCCGTTAGTGAATACAGTCAAAAACCCTAATAAGGACGCGCGGTAAGGACGCAAGACCCTTGGAAGCCGAAGTTGGGATTTTTGGGGCGGCGGACGACGAAAACCTCAAGGACGCAAGAGCAAGGAAGAGCAAGGACGCAAGAGTACCCTGAGCAAAGTCGCGCGTCCTGAAGGGCTTTTAACTGTACCCGTTACGGTGCCGCTGAGAAAGGTTCCTTGTTCAAGCCGGACCCTGGACAGCAGACGACGGGGGGGGGGGGGTCGACGCCGACGCGCCGCCCCGCTCAGCACGCTCCAGGGGCGGACTGGTGGGGGCGACCTCGGGCCCCCGCTCCGGCGAGGGGAACGGGCGAGCCTCGGGGGCCGATGCGGCCCCCCCCTCCCCCAGAGGGGGCCTTTGGGGCCATTGCTGGGGGTGGGGGGGGCGCCGGGATGAGCTATCCTGCTCCCCCCCCCCCGTCTCTGGCGGACGGGCCGACTGCGGGGTCGCAGAGTGTTCTCCGGTGCCTCCGAGTTTGTCCTGCTCCCCTGAGGAAAAACAAGCCAACAGGTTCCGATACCGCTATTCCCTGGACCTCTCACGGGGTGCATCTTTGCCAGAGTCTCGAGTCTCGAGGCGAATCCAGCCGTGGCGACGAGGGCCTCCCGGAAGGACCCAGGAGCGGAAACCGACCGAGTGAAGGATAGCAGTGTTCGGCGGCGAGACAAGGGGGAAGTGAGAAGGAGAATGTCTTCTCAGAAGGCTCGGAAGTCCCCAGGCCTTCTGAGAAATGATCGATGCCTGCCCCGAAGAGACAGAGCACTTCTCAGAAGGCCGGGGGGCTTCTGAGGAGTCCCGCCGCCTTCTGAGCAGGCCTTCTCCTTATCATTTCCCCCATCGCTCGCCGCCGAAGTACACCCTGCGAAATGCTTAAGAAATCATGGGTTAAGAAATTCATAGTCTCAGAACTTGAATAAAACCCAACGTTTCAGTTAAAATCTCAAGATTTACATTGAAACATTAAGAATAATCGAGACTCTGGCCGAAAACTTAAGTTTTCTTAAGCATCGCCTGAGGTGTATGGGTACAGTGGAGGCCAGTCAACAAGAAGCCGTCCACAGGAAGCCCTTTTAGACCCCAAGGAGTCCACCGATTTTGGGGCGCGGGAGCGTCACGGCCTGCCTCGCAGGACCATCGACACCCAGCGAAGCCCAGGGCACCCCTGGAGGCAGGTAGGGTGTTTCTTGGCATGGGCCCCACCCTCCCTCCTCCCCCTCCTTCCCCCACCCTACAGCCCTCCCTCCTCACCCTCCTTCCTAACCTCACCTAAACCTCCCTCCTTCCCTCCTCCCTCCACCCTCCTCCCTCCTCCTCCTCCTCCCTCCCTTCCTCCTCCTCCTCCCTCCTCCTTCCCTCCTCCTCCTCCTCCTCCCTCCCCGCCCTCCTCCCCTCCTCCTCCTCCTCCACCTCCTCCTCCTCCTCCTCCTCCTCCTCCCCTTCCCTCCTCCTCCTCCCTCCTCCGCCCTCCTCCGCCCTCCCCCTCCTCCTCCTCCTCCTCCTCCTCCTCCTCCTCCTTCTCGTCCTCGTCCTCCTCCCCGTCCTCCTCCTCGTCCTCCTCCTCGTCCTCGTCCTCGTCCTACCGATACAGCTTTTCCCCAGACCTCTCCCAGGGTGCGTTCTGACCAGGACTTCGAGGCGAATCCAGCGGTGGCGACGAGAGCCTCCCAGGAGGCCCAGCAAGGGCAAAACGAGGGAAGGGGGGGACAAGAAGTGGCATAAAGATAAAAACTCGGAGGTCCGCGCGGATTTATCGGATCGGCGCTGGACCCCCCTCCCCTGGCGCGCGGAGCGCGCCAAGGGCGGCGCCGGAGGCGCCGGCGGGGGGCCCCAGCGCCGATCCGAGAAATCCGCGCGGACCTCCGAGTTTTTATGTTTATGCCGCTCTTTGTTTCCGTATTTTCCCCCTCTGAGTACCTGTTCCTCCTCGGACCCTGAGCCCCCCACCCGCCAGCTTTAAGTCGGGCCTGTCCCCCTACAGGGGGATTTTCGACGAAAAATGAAAAATACACCCAAAATGACCCCAAAATTACTCCAAACATAGTCTGGGGAGTATTCTTGGAGTATTCTTTTTGAACTTTTGGGGGCCCGACATATCGGCGACTGCCCCATAACGCCGACATCGGCTACACGCAGGAGTGACCCTGGGTAAGAGTGACCTTTGGTGCGCGGCTTTTGGGGGGCCGCGGGGGGACCAAACACAGGCGCGCAAGGCGCTACCATCGCATCGCGTTTGGCGACCTGGGGAACCCATTGGGCCCGCACCGAAGGTCACTCCGGCGAAAGGTCACTCTTACGTCTAGTCGACGACGACGACGACGACGACGACGACGACGACGACGACGACGACGACGACGACGACGACGACGTCACGCCCGCACAGCGCGGCCGCGGCCGCGGCGCGGCGCCTGCCGCCCCCAGGCAGGCAGGCGCAGCGTCGCGCCCGGTCGGGCGCCCGACGCGCACGCGCCCACGACAGGGCAGGCGATGCCCACGACAGGGCAGGCGATGCCCCCATTCTCGGCCCGCCGGCAAGGTACGCACACCTCCTCCGCCTCCTCCTCCTCCTCAACCTCCTCCTCCTCCTCCTCCTCCTCCTCCTCCTCCCCCCTCCTCCTCCTCCGCCTCCTCCTCCTCCTCCTCCTCCTCCTCTCCTCCTCCTCCTCCTCCCCCCTCCTCCTCCTCCTCCTCCTCCTCCTCCTCCTCCTCCTCCTCCTCCTCCTCCTCCTCAGCTCCCCCTCCTCCTCCTCCTCCTCCTCCTCCTCCTCCTCCTCCTCCTCCTCCTCCTCCTTTAAGCCCTTTCCCCCTCTGGGGCCAGGGGGGTGGGCGCGCGTACTTGGAAGGGGCGCCGCGCGCCCGAGCTGATGTCATGGCAGACGCAGGCGCTGGACACGATCGTCACGGCGGCCGTCCGCGTGACCCTGCAGATGCAGGGGCGACAGGCACCGCCTGGCAGCTGGTCGAAGGCGTCTGGAGGCGCGCGGATCGAGGCGCCGCCGGGCGTCTGGCGGTCCCCGTCGCCGCAGGCGGAGGCCCGCCCGCAGGCGCGGCCTCGGCCGACGGAGGCCCCGAAGGCCAAGGCGATGCCGCCGCGGCCCTCTGCAGCGCCGGAGCGGCTCGCCATCGCGGACGGCAAGGTGGACGACCAGCCCCGCAAGCGCCGCTGGACGCGGGCGACGGATTCGCAGCCTGCCGCTGGTCCGAGCCTCAACTCGCAGCAGGAGGTGGCCGTGAGCAACGTCGTGGACTCCGACGCGGAGGTGCGGGCGGAGCTCAAGCGCCTCAAGGCGGACATCGAGGCTGCGAGGCTCCGCAAGGTGGAGAAGAAGGAGAAGAAGCGGGCCAGGAAGGAGGAGGAGAGCAGGCGCCAGGCGACGCTCGGTTCGGCACCCTGGAGGAGGAGCCGCAGCAGGGGCAGTCGGTGGTGATGTCTGACAAGCAGTACGAGGAGGAGAAGGTGGAGCTCAAGGCGATCCCGCCTTTCCCGCTGTTCGTGGGCTCGGAGGTGCTGAACGTGGAGGAGAAGCTCAAGGCGCTCCCGCCTTTCCCGCTGTTCGAGGGCACGGAGGTGCTGAACAAGGAGGAGGCCGTGCTGCAGGAGGTCCGTGGAGTGGGTCTTCTTCATGAGCCAGCGGTCGGGCTGGCCGACGGCGACGAGAAGTACTACAAGGAGGAGGACAAGGAGGACCACAAGGAGGAGGTCGTGCCGCAGGACGTTCGGCAGCTGAACGCCGAGAGCTACCGCAGGTTCGAGGCGGTTGCGGCGGCGAGGCGGCTGGCCACAGACGTCGTCGCAGGCACGATGCTCGAGAAGGGTGAAGTCGTGCCTGGCGAGGTGCACTTGACGGGCACGGTGAAGGAGAAGCTGAAGAAGGAGGTCATGCGCCAGCGGGCGGAAGAGTGCCGGCAGATCGTGAGCGACCTCGCGTCTGATGCGGAGGACGGGCTCTTCGGCGAGGATGCGGACTTCCTCGAGCTCCTGTACGACGGTGTCGCGTACTGGGACCTCGTGGTGGACAAGTTGGAGGTTCGTCGGCCTCGTGACCCCGAAGAGCTGCAAGGTGGCAAACCAGAACTTTAGGCCAAAGTTCTGGTTTGGAAGGCCTGAGGTGGGCCTGGAGGGATGCCTCCCCCGTTGGTTCCGAGGGGGTTCCTGGGGGGAGCCCTGGTGGCTCCCTGGCTTTTGTTCTCGGGCCTTCTGGCCCTCGGTTTTCGGGGTTGGCCTGCGGGCCAGCCCGGGCCCTTTGGGCTTCGGCCCCTTTGAACCTGGTGGTGGCATCCTTCTGGGTTCGGGGGCGCCGCGGGCGTAGTCCCGAGCAGCCTGGTGACAGGCTGAGGTAGTCAGTAGTCAGTAGCCTCCTCCTCCTCCTCCTCCTCCTCCTCCTCCTCCTCCTCCTTCCTCCCCCTCCTCCCTCCCCTCCTCCCCTCCTCCTCCTCCTCCTCCTCCTCCTCCTCCTCCTCCTCCTCCTCCTCCTCCTCCTCCTCCTCCTCCTTCCTGGGGCCCGGAAGCTGGGGCACTGCTTCTCTCGGGGGGATAGCAAAGGGGGGGTGAGAATCAGCTCACGCAGCTGATTTTCCCGGCGCCTCCCGGCGCCGGGAGGCGCCCATGTGTTGAGGAATGGGGAGCAACTCGGTGGGGCCGAAACCAGCCGCATGCAGCAGATTTCGTACCCCCCCCTTTCCCAATCCCCCCCTTTCGTCCGGCCCGAACATGGCCCTGTGATGCTTCAGTTGTGTGGGGGTGTTCCTTATCAGGGGTCTCTGGCGGCCCGTCGGGGCGATGGCGGGCTCCCCGGGGACGCCCTCGGCGAGGCGCAGCTGCCGGAGGGCACCCCGAGGCAGGAAAGCCGCCGAGCACGGCCGACCACGTCGGAAAACCTCGCCCTGGAGCATGCTGTTGAAATCGTACTTGCGGACCACAGCCCAGAAATAATCTCGAGCATCGAAACAGTGTCTGCCCGACACGCTGTCGAAGTACCGCACGAGTATCGCCTTCCAGGGCCCGACACGTGAACCCCCCCAGAGTCGATAGTGTCTTGGCGCTGAAAATTCATTATGGTGGCAAAGGCTCAAGCAGGTTGGAACATCAGAAGCCCTGGAAATCCCTCCCCTCCTCCTCCCTCCTCCTCCTCCCTCCTCCTCCTCCTCCTCCTCCCTCCTCCTCTCCCCTTTCCTTTTTCTCCTCCTCCTCCCTCCTCCTCCTCCTCCTCCTCCTCCTCCTCATCCTCCATCTCCTCCTCCCCCTCCTCCTCCTCCTCTCCTCCTCCTCCTCCTCTTCATCTCATCGTTCTCATCCTCGTCCCTCGTCCTCCGCCTCCTCGTCCTGCTCCCGCCTCCTCCTCCTCCTCCTCCTCCTCCTCCTCCTCCTCCTTCCTCCTCCTCCTCCTCCTCCTCCCTCCTCCTTCTTCTCCTCCCCCTCCTCCTCCTCCTCCTCGTCTTCCTCCTCCTCCTCCCTTTTCCTCGTCCTCGTCCTCCTCCTCTGTCTCGTCCTCGTCCTCGTCGTTGTCCTCCTCCTCCTCCTCCTCCTCCTCCTCCTCCTCCTCCTCCTCCTCCTCCTCCTCCCCTTATCCTCTCCCGCCCCCTGGTGCTGCCGACTACGCCAGCTCGGTGGCCTCGCGCCTCTCGCGCCGCCCGTCGGAGAGCGCTGCCGCGGCGACGGGCGCCGCGGAAGGTCTCACGCGCCGAAGCCCGCGAACGACCGCACCATGACCCAGCGACTCGCCGCCGAGCCCTCGCCGCCGCCAGCAGCGCGGCCCTGCGCAAGGAGGAGGAGGAGGAGGAGGAGGAGGAGGAAGAGGAGGAGGAGGAGGAGGAGGAGGCGGAAGTCACGAACAAACACACGACGGAAGGTTTCTAGCTGTTTTCGGCCTCTTTCTTGGGGTGCTTGTCTGGCCGAAGGACCGCCAGAGAACGATTCAGGATGCAAAGCCGGTCCTGGGGAAGGGGTCGAGACCTCGGGTAGAAGGAAACAATTCGTGGGCACTCCCCCTCTCCCCCAAGTTCAAAGTTGGCACGCGCGGGGAAGACTGTGGTCGAAGTGCAACTCATTCAACCCCATCGACAACATTTGTCACCACTGGGGGGCGGCATTGGCAGATGAATGCTCGGCGGCGAGCGAGGGGGGCAAACGAGAAGGAAAAGGCCGTCTCAGGAGGCGGCGGGACTTCCCAGAAGCCCTCGCGCCTTCTGAGAAGTTGACCTTGTCTCGTTAAAGGCTTAACGACTTCTGCCGTCCTTCGACTCGCGCTGGAGCGGCCGCGAAGTGCTCGAACTTTCCCTGGAGATCTCTGGATTTACCTGGATTTACCAAGATTTATCAAGATTTACCTGGATTTACCTCGATTTATCTGTATTTACCTGGGTTTATCTGGTTCGATTCTCACAAGTCGATTGGCGAAAAGTCGACAAGCCCTAAGGGATTGTCTTCGGGGAAGGCTCAGACAGCTTCTCGGAAGGCCTGGGGACTTCCCATCCTCTCGACGAGGCCTCCTCCTTCTCGCTTCCCCCCTCCTCCGCTCGCCGCCGAGACGCGGCGTGAGTGCTCGCCACTGTCGCACGCGGCCTGTCTCGGGATCGACGCTCCGACAAAAAATCGTGACGCCGGGGGTCATCGGGAGCGGCAAGGAGGGGGGTGTTCGAGAGGGGGGGGTGCAAATCATGACCGGCGGCATGTGCGCGGCCCAGCGGGGGGGCCAGGGACGTGATGAAACAAGAAGAGGCGCCACGAAATCTGGGGAAATATCATGGCCCGCGCCATGATACCCCCCGCCCCCCTAGTCATCACCCCCCTCTTTTCCGCCCCCGAGGTCTGGGAGTCTGCGCCCCTGCACCGGGCCTGGCCGGGCCCCCAGCCTGGGCACCGCCACCCGGTGAGCTGAGGGGCAGCGTTGCGGCAGGCTCGCGCGGCGTCGGCGCGCGCGCGCCAATTGCTCTCGACACCGCGTCGATCGTTCAACCTTGGACCGATCGCGGCCCCGATCGTTCAAGGCCGAATGCGGCAGGGTCCAGTGGCGTGGGCGTGTCCCATCGGTGCTTCCGCGCCGCAGAATGTAGCCCTGGACGCCTTCGCCGGCGTCGCCGGCGCGCCCACGCCGCATGGACCTACCGCTGGGCCCCTGAGCCTATCCCTTGGTAGTTTTTGGGGGTCATGCCTCGGGACTGCGGCGGTCACTCGGGACGTTTCGGGCACCCCCAGGATCGGCGGTGGACAAACCTCCCTTTAGTTAACCACCCTTTAGAAACGAAACCGACGGACCTGGGCCCGCAAAAATGACGGCCGCGACGCCCTCTCGCGAACCGAAAACTGCCAATTCGCTAATCGACGTGTCAGGGCAGGAGATCGATCAACCTCCGACAGAACGCTATCGGCGAGGCGCAGCTGCTGGAAAGCCGTCGCTAGCCTACGAAGTTTTCGAGAAGAACCTCGGACTTCAAGCCTCGGGGAGAGGGGTGTAGCTCAGGGGGGGGAGCATCGAGCTGCAATCGGCGGCGTCATCGCCGACAGATCGGCGAGGGCCCCCCGACAGATCGGCGAGGGGCCCATGCTGGGCACAGGGCCGGCGATTTGAGAGGCAACGCTGCGGTTAGGTCGGGCCTGTCCTCCTGCAGGCGGGTCTTGGAAGAAAGCGAAGCAGCGTCCCAAGATAATTAAGCATCGTCGCCATAATCATAAAACAACTAGTCAAAAAGAGCACGGTAAATCGTCACAACACTATTTGTCTACGATTCTTGGACATCCCTGTCGAGGGACATGCCCGACTTGACGCTGAAGGGGGGGGGGGAGGGGGGCAGCTCGGGGGGGCAGCATCGAGCTGTAATCCGCGCCGACAGATCGGCGATGGGCCCCCGACAGATGAGCGTGGCATGCGTGTTCCCTGATTTCGGCCGCGGCCTGCCTGGGGCCAGACCACTCTTTTGCCATTCTTGAACCTCCCTCCTTCGGGTCGGGCGAAAGGGGGGGATAGCAAAGGCGGGGTTTGAGAATCAGCTCACGTAACTGATTCTCCCGGCGCCTCCCGGCGCCGGAGGCGGCTATGTATCGAGGCATGGGCCCCTCGGTGGGGCCGAAACCAGCTGCATGCAGCAGATTTCGTACCCCCCCCCTTTCCCAATCCCCCCCTTTCGCCCGGCCCGACTCCTGTGGGCGGACATGCCCGACCTCACGCTGAGGCGGGGGAGGACGAGAAGGAGGAGGAGGAGGAGGAGGAGGAGGAGGAGGAGGAGGAGGAGGAGGAGGAGAAGGAGGAGGGGGGGGGCAGGGGGCAGGGGCGGGGGGCTTCGAGCGGCAGCCGGCGGTGCGTCGGCGAGGCGTCGGCGGCGGGGCCCCCGCTGCCGCGAGGCCGCGGGGCCTCCGGCAAGGGGGCGAGCGGTCGTGCGCCCCCCCCCCGAATCGGCGACCCCTCTGGGCGCCTCGGGGCCTCGAGGCGCTCCTCCCCACGAGCCGCGCCCCCCCCCCCCTGACGAGGCCCCGACTCAACGCTGGCCATCGCTCGGACGCCCAGTCCCTGTGTTTTTTTTATGGCTTCGTGCGTGGTGTTGTCGCCAAGTGATCAAGAATGCTCCTCGATGGTCCTCGCCGAGGAAAAAACGCACACGTCCGAGCGATGCGAAGAACGCTGAGGGGGGGGGGGAGCAGCTCAGGGTCTGGAGCAGCGAGCTGTCGTCGGCGGGGCCTCGGCGCTGGATCGGAGACGGGCGCGAGTCGGGCCGATGGATGCCTTGGCGTGCGGTCGGGCGCCCCCACCGGCGATCACTGGGCGACGGGGGGGTCGATGCGCTCGCCCCCGAGCCGCGCCCCCCCCCGCTGACGGGGCCCAGGCGTCTGCCTTCCCTGCCCTTCGCGTCCCACGAGCTAGGGGAGCAGAGCACGGCATGAGCATAAACTCTGGGAGCTCCGCGCGGATGTCTTGCATCTGCACTGCCCCGACCCCTGCGGCCGCGCGGAGGGGGCCCGCGGGCGCCTCGCGCCCCACCGCCAGCAGGCCCCTGCTCCTGCGGCAGGGCGGGGCGGCCGAGCCCGAGGCTTCAGTCGGGCCTGTCCCCCTACAGGCGGACTCTCGACGAAACAGAAAGCACAGCCAAACAGATTCAACAGGGGTCCGAAATAGTCGAAGAATCGTGCCCCCAGTACGATTTATTACTAGGCTTGAGGATTCCCCCTGTAGAAGGACATGCCCGACGGAACCCTGGCGCCCTCCCCCTGGGCCGGAGGTTGCTCCGCAGGTCGTTCTCTGACAGTCCCCGGGCCCGTGGAGGGCTCAGGGCTCAGTGTCGAACCAGTATTAAGTCGGGCCTGTCCCCCTACAGGGGAACTTTCGACGAAAAATGTAAAAAATACCCCCACAAATACCCCAAGAAGGCCAACAGATACTCCAAACAATAGTCCCCAGACTGTGTTTGGATTATGGTTTGATTGTTTTTGGTATATTTTTCCCTACCTAGGCTCTGCCTAGAAGGGTTCTTACTCTGAGGCTTAAAAGGCCGGGCAGTGGAATGCGCCCCGGGCGGTTCCCCCGGCATCCGCCCCGCGGTTCCTCCAGTGACGTTCCCTTAGCTTCGCGTTGCTTATCTCATCTTAGCTTAGCTTGTTTCATCTTACCTTAGCTTAGCTTCATCTTACCTCCGTTTTATCTTATGCTGCTTTCCTAGGGGCTCCAACTCCTAGGTAGGGTCGCGCTGGGATAATTTGTGCTTCGTCGAAAATCCCCCTGCAGGGGGACAGGCCCGACTTACGCCGAGGCCGAGCGCGGCGGCGCAGCGGCGTCGGCACTAACGGTGCCCAGACCCCCCCTTCGAGGCGCGGCGAGCGTGAAGTCGGGCGTGCCCCTCTACAGGGGGAATAGATTCAGAAAGACTCAAAGAATAATCTGGGGACGATGTTTGGACTATTGTTTTAAAATATTTGGATGGTCTTTTTCGAGTGAGTGTTCTTTATTTTCTCAGGGGGGATATTCAGCAAGAGTCAACGAATAGTCTGGGGACGATTTTTGGGGACTACTGTTTTAAAATGTTTGGATGCTCTTTTCCGAGTGTTCTTTACTCTTCGCCCGAGATCTCGGGCCAGGCGAAAGGGGGGGATAGCAAAGGGGGGGGGTGAGAATCAGCTCACGTAGCTGATTTTCCCGGCGCCTCCCGGCGCCGGGGGCGGCTATGTATCGAGGAATGGGCCCCTCGGTGGGGCCGAAACCAGCTGCATGCAGCAGATTTCGAACCCCCCCCTTTCCCAATCCCCCCCTTTCGTCCGGCCCGAAAATCCCCCTGTAGGGGGACACGCCCGACGTAAGGTGAGCGTCTTCTTCTTCGGCGTGTCGACGTTGGTCGGGGTCCACCAAAAAGGGGGGGGACCCTGAGGGGGGGGGGGAGTTCCATCCGCTGGTGCATCGCAATTCCGAAAAACGGTGCCCTCCCCCGCGCGTGCCCCGATTGTCGACGCCTCTCGGGTTCCGGCGGCGGCCGGGAACCTCGCTTTGCATAGTTTTTGTTGCGGTTCGAGGCGCCAACGGACCGAACTCACCCCCTCCCATGTGGCATCCCCCCCCCATTTTGCGAGGTTCCGATCGAGACATGGTGAGCGTCTTCTTTTTCTGCGTTTCGACATTGGGCGGAAGGGGGGGTGGGGGGAGGGAGGGGGGTCTGGCTCCGGACCTCTGCCTGATATGAGGCTATTCGGAACGGTGCTCCACTGGGGAATCCTACAGGGATCCGCCCACCTGCCTGAAGCAGGCGCCCCAAACAGCCAAGATGATCTACTCCATGGGGGGGGAGGGGGGGGGGGCGAGGGCCCGCGCCGATGGGCAAACCACCGACGACATGGAGACAAACAAAGAAACGACGGCACGTGCTTCGCTATGTGTTCGGCCTCTGGGGAAGCCTCCCGGGGCCTCCGGGGCAGTCCGCAGACACCACCACTCGGGAGGATCCACCGCCCAGGGGCAGGCGTCGAGACCCGTATAGGGGTCGAGGCTCTGGAAAGATCATGGCGCCGGGGGCTTGGCTCCGGCCTGCGCACGGGCAGCCCACCCCGTGCTGTCAGTCGCCCCCCGTGCCTCGCCTCCCCCCCCCGCTGCAACGCCCCCCCCCCTCGGCCCCCCCCCCCCGTGCCTCGCCCCCCCGCTCCTCGCCCCCGCCCCCGCTGCAACGCCCGAACGACGACCACGACCAAGGTGTCGCGGCGGCCGTCGCCGATGCGCGAGGATGGTCCAGGAAGCGACGATGGCCGAGGTATTGGGCGCGGACCAAGGCCGACACTGGTAAGGCTTCGGGGGGGGGGGCCTGCTGAGACACGCTGGGCACAACTACGGGGGAAGGCTTCGGGGGGGGGGGCCTGCTGAGACACGCCAGGGTAAGGCTTCGGGGGGGGCCTGCTGAGACTACCTGGGGGGCTGTCTGTGCGCAACCCGGAGCCTTACAGGTGTCGGCCTTGGTCCGCGTCCGTGACTCGGCCATCGTCGCTTCCTGGACCATCCTCGCGCATCGGCGACGGCCGCCGCGACATCTTGTTCGTGGTCGTCGCTCGGTCGTTGCAGCGGGGGCGGGGGCGAGGAACGGGGGGTTGGAGAGGTGCGCCTTCCGTGCACCCTCCAGGCCCCTGCCCGTGGGATCGAGGACCGTGGCAAAGACCGAGTGCGGAAGCACATCGGTGTCGACATTGGTCTTGAGCAGGGACCGACCGTCCCAGCATTCCGATAGTCCTACCACGAAATGCTCCTACAACAGACATGTTCTACATAACAAAAGCAATGTTCTTAAAACAAGGCAGTCCCAGCCAGAAATGTTCGAAAAACATTTCGAGGAAGCCACAGAGGGTTCTTAGAACATTGCCTGGTAGGCCCATACGCACGCCAGGACGCTTCGCCACCGCCTGATGGTCATCGTCCACCTTGGTCACCGTCGTTTCGTGGGTGATCCTCGCAGATGGGGTCGGATAGGGGGCCACATGCAAACCCTACCCCTACCCCCCACGATTTCTGAGGGGCAGGGTGGGGTTCACTTCGTTCGGGAGCTCCCGAGCGAAGTGAACCCCACCCTCCCCGTCAGAAATCGTGGGGGGTAGGGGTAGGGTTCGCAGGTGGCTCCCTATCGGAGGATTTTGCACCGCACCGCCGACATGTCGGCGACGCATCGGCGACGTCCGCGCGGTGAGAAAAGCGGGCTCCGCATCGAGCCGCATTGGCGGTGCGGCGGGCGATCGTCGGGCCCCATCTGCTCCGACCCCAGCTGGTTTGGACACCCCGACCTTGCCATCGCTCGGACGTCCATTCCCTGTGCATGTTTCGGTTTCGTGCGTGCTTTTGCTTGCTCGATGATCCAGGATGCTCATCCAGGGTCCTCGCCGAGGAAAAAATGCACACGTCCGAGCGATGCCAGACGACATGGGTACGGAAAGAAATGGGCACGACGCCCAACAGCGAATGTTGTCCAGAACCGGCTGCGGCCGCCGCTGAGCAGGCGGCCTCCTGTGCCGAATGGAACACGTCCGCGGCGACACCGCCAGCGAATCCGGCTCAAAATGCACAGGGCATGCGGTTGTCTTCGTAGTCACCCGTTCTATCCGTACGCATGTCGATCGTCCCGATCTGGCAGGCCTACAGTCGGCCTTGATTGGACAGGACACGCGAGAGGACACAGAACCCTTCCGAGGGCCACAGTGCAATGGGGGATGTAGGAAGCACGTGTCGCGAGGCACAGGACACAAGGGTACCCTTGAGCTGGCAGGGTCGACCTACTTCGGGAGCGGCCAAGAGGGGGGTGTCCAAGAGGGGGGGGTGCAAATCATGACAGGCGGCATGTGCGCGGCCCAGCGGGGGGGCCAGGGACGTAATGAAACGAGAAGAGGCGCCATGAAATCTGGGGAAATATCATGGCCCGCGCCATGATATCCACCCCCCCCTAGTCATCACCCCCCTCTTTTCCGCCCCCGACTACTAATCCGGGCCGCCTGCACCAGGAAGCGGGACACATACGTGGCTGGATTCACACGTGGGACACTTGGAGGCCACTTGCTGGATACACGCGTGGAAGACCACCCTGCCTGGCCACAGGAGGGCCGAGGGTTAGGTCGGGCGTGTCCTCCTACAGGCGGACTTTGGACGACACATAAAAACAGCCCAAAAATCATCATCAACGAATAACACAAACATCATCCCCAGGCTATTTTTGACTACTCTTTTGAAGATGCCCCCTGTAGAGGGGCAGGCTGGACGTCGCCGAGCGCTGGAAAGACCCGTGGCCACGTGCGCATCCGGCTCTCGCCCAGGCCGGCCACGCCGTGCGTAGCCGGCGTCCTGGCAGAAAGCCACCACCTCCTCCTCCTCCTCCTCCTCCTCCTCCTCCTTCTCCTCCTCCTCCTCCCCCTCCTTCTCCTCCTGCGCCTCCTCTCCTTCCTCCTCCTCCTCCTCCTCCTTCTCCTCTTCTCCTCCTCCTCCTCCTCTTGCTCCTCCCCCTCCTCCTCCCCTCCTCCCCCTCCTCCTCCTCCTCCCCCTCCGCTTCCTCCTCCTCCTCCTCCTCCTCCTCCTTCTCCTCCTTCTCCTCCTACGCTCCTCTCCTCCTCCTCATCCTCCTCCCTCCTCCCCCCTCCTCCTCCTCCTCCTCCTCCTCCTCCTCCTCCTCCTCCTCCTCCTCCTCCTCCTCCTCGAGCTCCGGAGGTACCGCACGTCGCCCTCGGAGGCCTCGCTGGGCGCGGCGCCGCCGCGCGGGCGCGGGCCGCGCCCCGCGACCAGGAGGCCCTTGCCCAGCAGGTACCGGGTCTGGCTCCGCGACGGCCGAGGAGCAAACCACGGCATAAATACTGCACTTAAGTTGGGCCTGACCCCCTACAGGGGGATTCTCGACGAAAACTAAAAGATACCCCAAAAGTAGTCCAAAAATAGTCTGGGGCCTATTGTTTGAGTATGTTTTGACCATCTTAGGGTATTTTTGGGGTACTTTTTTATTTTTCGTCGAAAATCCCACTGTAGGGGGACACGCCCGACTTAATACTACACCAGCTCGGCGGCGCGCCCGGGGGGAAGCGAGAAGGGCCTGGTCGGTTCTCCTCGGCCCTCGTCGGTGTTCCAGCCTCGGGGTGCGCTCCAGCGGCTGCGCCTCGCCGAGAGCGTCCCTGGAGCGCCCAGATCCTCCGGAACGGCCACGGGGAGAGCCGCGCTACCGAGAGACGGCCAGGCGTCCGAGGAGGGGCGGCAGGCCTTCTCAGAAGCCGGCGGGGCCTCTCAGAAGCCCTCGCACCTTCTGAGAAGTCCTACGTGTCACTGCACCGACCTTGCAGACGTGCTGCAGCGGACTTTTGCATGGATCTCTGTCGACGCAAAACCCCGAAACCGCGAGCGGAAAACGGAGTGAATTTCACGTGGATGTCTGTAATATAGTCTTCATGTCTGGCCAACAACAGTCTGTACGAAATTCTCTTCGGAATCCGGAACGAACTTCTCCAGGACAATCTGGGCCCATTCCACTGTTTCCCGAGCGAATTCAAATCTGCGATTCTGGCGCCATGATTCCGCGGCGACGATAAGGACGAATGGCCCAGGGGCGGGCATTACACGTATTCGCCCGGAAGCCTTCTCGAAGACATAGATCATTGGCGCACCCGAACACATGTACTGATCTCCCCTGGGCTATTCGCCCCTATCGTCGCCTCTGAATTCCCCGGGGGAGGCTCAGAAAAACCTCTTAGTATGCCCGAAGCCTTCCGAGCCTTCCGATGATGGCCCGCCCCGTCGGACTTCCCCCGCCCCTGCTCGCCGCCGATAAAAGCTGAGGTCGGACCTGTCTCCCTACAGGCGGAGCTTGAACGAAAAACAAAAGTAGTGCCCCCAAAATGCTCAAACATATTCGAAGCATCCTCATCAGAACAGTCGCTCCCATAGTATTTGTTTCAAAACTGAGCTTGAGTGTTCCTCCTGTGGAGGGACACGCCCGACTTGAGCAGCAACACGAAGTTTCGGAGCTCCGCGCGGATTTCGTGGCTCGGCGCTGGGCCCCCCTGCATCGGCGCCCGAGGCGACGCCCCGGGCACGCCCCGCGCGCCCGGGAAGAGAGGGGCCCAGCGCCGATCTCCAGGCCGCCCGCGCGGAGCTCCGAAAGCTTATCAAGACGAAGCAAGGACTAAGGCGGGCATGTCCCCCTACATGACCTACAGGCAGCTTTCCACCGAAAGAAATAACTCCAAACATGTTCCAAACTTGTCCAAAAAACTTTAAACATCGTCCCCAGACTGTGTTTCGAGCATGTTTGAGTTTTCCCCCTGTAGAGGGACATGCCCGACTGAAAGCCAGGACGAGGATGAAGTCATGAATTCGGGTGGGGGAAAAATAAAGAATCTCTGAGATCCGGCCGCTCTGGAAGACGTCCCGGGCGCCGCGGCCTTCTCCGAGCGCTCTGGAGCGCTCCGAGAGCGTGCGGGGAAGCTCCGGAACGGATTCGCCCTCGTGCTAGAGCCCCATTCGACGTCTGCTAGCCGCCGAAACACACACACACACACACACGCACGCACACACACACACGCACGCACGCACGCACGCACGCACGCACGCACGCACGCACGCACGCACGCACGCACGCACGCACGCACGCACGCACGCACGCACGCACGCACGCACGCACGCACGCACGCACGCACGCACGCACGCACGCACGCACGCACACACACACACACACACACTCTCGGAGCTCCGCCGCCTTCCAAGCCATCCGCGCGGAGCTCCGAAAGTTGATGTTCATGCCGCGTGTTGTTCCTCGAGATAGGCTGTGCTCCTCTCGCGCGGGCGGCCGCCGCCCCCCCCCCCCTGCACTGCGGCGCGGGCAGGTGTCGTGACCGGACGGGCGGGCGACGAAAAAGGAACGAGTCCTACGCACGAGTAGGCCCTCGACCTGTACCCTCCGCACCTTCCGCGCGGCAGGTGCCGCGCTGCCGCGGCCGCCGCCGCGGCCGCCACCGCGGCCCCGTCGAGGCCGCAGCGGCGGCCGCGGCCGCATCGCGGCGGCACCTTCCGCGCGGAAGGTGCGGAAGGTGCAGGTCGGACGTGCGCATTTTTTTCTTCGGCGACTACCATCGAGGAGCATCCTTGATCATCTGGCGAAAACGCCACGCACGAAACCGAAAAAAACACACAGGGAATGGACGTCCGAGCGATGGCCAGGCCTGGGAGATGCGCTTACGGCATGGGCATTCATAAACCGTCGGAGCTCCGCGCCCATATCTCGTGGACCTGCGCTGACTCCCCCGTCCTGACGCGCGGGGCCCGTCGGGGGCGGCGTCGGAGGAGGCGCCGCCAGGAGGGCGTGGCGCGGCTCCAAGACATAGACATCCGCGCGGACCTCCGACAGCTCATGCTCATGCCGCTTTTCCTTCCTCGAGCGATGACGTGGCGACCTTGCGCGGTGGCTCACGAAGGCCGCCAGCGCGGCACGCCACGTGGAAGACAGGACGCTTGCGCGCGACCTTACGTGGAAAGCTTACGCACGAATGTTCACTCGACCCCGTTTTTCCACGTCGCCCAGGTGGACGCTGGGCTGGTATGGGATCGTGGCTGCTCTCCTGCTGGTGACGGTCAACGCAGGGGGCAGAACGAACGAACGAACGAGCCACCAGTGCGAACAAGTGCCTGGGCCTCGTGAGACCAGGTGAGTGGGGCCGCAGCTTCGAGATGCTGCAGTGCGTGTTGAGATATGCACGCGAGACATATGAGAGTTGTGGTGGGCAATGGGTAAACAATAATAGGAATCCTTGTGGTCGTTGGTGGTGCCGCGTCGCTGGGTTGGGGTCGGAGATGGTGGTCTGTACTGGGTACGGTGCTGTTGCTGGCGCAGGACGCTGGTAGTCGGTGCTCGGTGCTTGTGGTAGGTGGTCGGTTCTGTCAGTGCTACCACGGTGTGGGCCTTCTGGGAAAGCAGGGAGAGCGGTCCTTCTGGGAAAGCGAGGGGGCCCTGCCGGGGATCGCCCCCCTCGCAGTCTGAGAGGCCAGAGGGCCTTCTCAGAAAGTCGCCGCCCTGCTCACTCCTCTGGGCCACCTTCCGCACCTTTCCCCCACGGCCGCGACGCAGCGGCGCCTGCTGCGAGGGATGTGCGGAAGGTATGGCTCGCCGCAGGCAGACGACGACAACGACGACGACGACGACGACGACGACGATGACGACGACGGCGATGATGACAACGGCGCCCCACCGCTTCCGCTGGCCTTGCCAGCCCGTCCAGACCGCCCGCCCGATCCGCCGTCGTCGTCGTCGTCGCTTGCTGGCGGCGAGTACGGTGATTTGTTTGCTTGACGGCACATGCGTAAAACGACTCGAATTCAGAGAGAAAGGGAGAGGGATAGAGAGAGAGAGATACAAAAAAACAAAAAACAGAGAGAGAGAGAAAGGCATGTAGGCAAGAGCCCCTGAGAGCGCCGTGGGCTGCTCAGGGTCCTAATTGGGCGGCCCTCATACCCAGCATACTGCAGCAGCGCCCACTGCAGCTCATCTGAAAAGGGTGAAAGCATTTGTCTCTCTCCGCGTGCCCAAACGAGGTCATGCACTCGGATGCAAAGGACAAAGAACTGACGGTGAAGGCGCTGGTCAGAGCCTTGGATCAGGAACTATTGGCGAAAGAATCCAGGGTCTGGGAGCTGGTGGAACTCCCACCGTGGATTGGCTAGGAGCATCTCTGGCGCCCTTCGCAGCTCAGGAATCCTCAGGGTCCTACGCCTCCTGGGCACATTCCTTAACCATCGCCCCCACCATCTACGGAGTGGGAGGGATCGAGCACCCCCACCCCGAGGCTTTCTCCTCTCCTCGGCGAGCCTCGGCTGAGCCTCCTGGGCCCATTCCTTAACCAGCGCCCCCACCATATACGGAGTGGGATCGAGCACCCCCACCCCGAGGCTTTCTCCTCTCCTCGGCGAGCCTCGGCTAAGCCTCCTGGGCACATTCCTGAACCATCGCCCCCACCATATACGGAGTGGGATGGGGATCGAGCACCCCCACCCAGGGCTTTCTCCTCTCATCGGCGAGCCTCGGCCACCAAGAGGCCCGCTGACCTATAGGTCTATGAGGACCGACCCCGAAAAAAGCAGGGGGCGCCTCATGAGCAAGGCCAACAGCTAGGGGAACGAGCAATGGCGTGAACAGAAACACTCGGAGTTCGGCGCGGATTCCTCGGATCGGCGCTGGGGCACCCTGGCGGCGCCTCCGGCGCCGCCCCTGGCGCGCTCCACGCCCCAGGGAGGGGGGCCCAGCGCGGATCCAAGACACCCGCGCCGACCCCCGAGTTTTTGTGCTCGTGCCACGTCTTCGCTCCCCTGGCCCTAGACAGGCACACAGAAGAGGAGGGGAGGCGCAGGGAAGGCGCGGACGGGACGGCCCGCTCTCCAGCAGCCTCCTCCCCAGACCTCCACAACGTTTGGATGCTTTCTCGCAACGTCGACGCCCAGAGGTCTGGACCCCTTCCCCGGGACCGGTTTGTCGTCCCGATCGCCCGGAGGGAGGAGGGAGGGAGGGAGGGAGGGAGGGAGGGAGGGAGGGAGGGAGGGAGGGAGGGAGGGAGGGAGGGAGGGAGGAGGGAGGAGGGAGGAGGAGGATGAGGAGGAGGAGGAGGAGGAGGAGGGCCCCCCCGGAGGCCGAAAAACCTGCCGTCGGGAGTTCTTCACATTGTGTTGTCAGCACAAGCATACTTGAATCGCCGCCCTGCTTGCTTAGTGTTCGGGGAGGTTCTACCTTGCTTTGCGGGGATGGAACTACTTAGCTAACTGACCTAGCATCCTACTAAGTAACCTCACTTAGGTGGCATCGCTAACCTACTTCGCTA